GTTTTCTTCCATCTTCCTGGCTCTCTGGACCTCTCACTTCCCCCCTACCTTTTCCTACTGCTCTAACATAAAATAACCTCCCACCGGTTTCTAGCTATTTGGGAAGCTGGAAGGAACAGCAAGGATCACCAACCCCTTCCATTTTCCGGATGGGGAGACAGAGACCAGGAGCTGAGCTGACCCGACCGGCTGAGGTCGCGCCGCTAGGGGACGTGGTGTGCCTTGCGGGCTCGGATGATGACAACCCAGCCTTCCCTCCTCGCTCCTCGCCCGTGCCTTCCTGCCTCAAGCTACCTCCTTCTCTTGCCACTTGGTGTTTTTATCCTCAAATTAGACAAGTATCAAGAAAAAAAATGCAACCTTAATATACTTACAATGCTGATTATTATTCATAATTTTGCATTGGGGCAATTATACTCGCTCCTACTGGGATATGGAAATCAAGGGCAGAAACAACTAGGTGACATTCTACCTCCCTGTGTATTTTAATGCTATTTAGTTTGGTTCAATAACCACACCTTTAACATTCCCTCTTTTTCCTTGGACTCACTCTTCTATCTGGCAAGGGAATAACTTCTTTAAAAACTTCGCATTTTCCAAGTGCACAGTCTTCCCTTAACCAGAACTGCAGACTCTGAATCACAGACCTCTGGCTTACCAGTTATGCTTAGCTGAGCAAACACACTTATGCAAATACGTGAAAAACAAACTGTTAGAGCCTGAAGGAATAGAGGATTTCGCTGTGATCATTATTTACGTTTTCAATATTGATGTTTCCCAATATCTATCTAACCCCATAGGAAACGATGCGTCCATAGTGAAACAAGTCAGCACCCACATTTATGAAAAAATCCACGGATTTCAACAGAAATAATGTATTTATTTTTTTGTAGAGACAGAGTCTCACTATGTTGCCCAGGCTGGTCTCAAACTCCTGGCTTCAAGTGATCCTCCTGCCTCAGCCTCCCAAACTGTTGGGATTACAGGCATGAGCCACCACACCTGGCCAAGGATATTTAAATAAGAGGGTAACATGACATGTAAAAATAAGAAACCAAACAGTAGTATGATGCTGACTTAAGGCCAGAGAAGACTATTGGACTTTAAACCAAGAGCTTATGTTTAAGTTTTTATTACATCACAGTTCGGCTTTTAAAATAAATAACGTTCCTCAAGGGTGTAGGCATATTGATACCAAAACATAAAAGAAGAGGAAGACAGGCCACACACATCAAGCACAGACATTAAAATCTTGCCCTCAAACTAAATTCTAAAAGTTGTTATCTGCTGAATACTTGGAGTTTCCCAGTGAAAATGATACAGTGTATTCTGCCCAGATTGCAACTTTCCATACTAAGCATTTGAAATTATTCTTGGCCCTAAATATCACTTACTTCAGACTGAATGTCACTGTGTATCAAAAACACTGAGCAAGTGAAATTTTTATTCTTTGAATGTTCCAGTAGGTCACTAATGGAATAGATTCAGTAAAACCTTGCAGAGTCTATACGGTATAATTTGAAACAACAACAACAAAAAAATCAAATTACTTTCTGGAAAGTATTAGCTTTGAACAAAAATAGAAGTTTCGAAAGGGCTGCCACTTACATTCTTACCTCTGTTATTTCTTTCCCATCACTCACAGGGAGAGTGCTGTGTGCCCACAGATCTGAGTAGGAGCTGTTCCCCTGAGAGACAATGATGCAAATGGGTCAAGTGATGCCTAGTAGAAGTCAGACCTCAAGAATCACCTTGACCTCACCTTAGTGCATTAGCTAAGCAAACTCACAAGCTTTAAATAATAAAAGGTAACAAGAGACTGATCTGAGGGGGGAAGTATTATTGATTCCCTTGAGGAAAAGAAAAAAAAAAAAAAACAGGGGAAATGAGCTCCCAGCTCAAGGATTTGTCTCCTCCAGGCATCCTCTGTTGCTGTTTTCTTCCATCTTCCTGGCTCTCTGGACCTCTCACTTCCCCCCTACCTTTTCCTACTGCTCTAACATAAAATAACCTCCCACCGGTTTCTAGCTATTTGGGAAGCTGGAAGGAACAGCAAGGATCACCAACCCCTTCCATTTTCCGGATGGGGAGACAGAGACCAGGAGCTGAGCTGACCCGACCGGCTGAGGTCGCGCCGCTAGGGGACGTGGTGTGCCTTGCGGGCTCGGATGATGACAACCCAGCCTTCCCTCCTCGCTCCTCGCCCGTGCCTTCCTGCCTCAAGCTACCTCCTTCTCTTGCCACTTGGTGTTTTTATCCTCAAATTAGACAAGTATCAAGAAAAAAAATGCAACCTTAATATACTTACGATGCTGATTATTATTCATAATTTTGCATTGGGGCAATTATACTCGCTCCTACTGGGATATGGAAATCAAGGGCAGAAACAACTAGGTGACATTCTACCTCCCTGTGTATTTTAATGCTATTTAGTTTGGTTCAATAACCACACCTTTAACATTCCCTCTTTTTCCTTGGACTCACTCTTCTATCTGGCAAGGGAATAACTTCTTTAAAAACTTCGCATTTTCCAAGTGCACAGTCTTCCCTTAACCAGAACTGCAGACTCTGAATCACAGACCTCTGGCTTACCAGTTATGCTTAGCTGAGCAAACACACTTATGCAAATACGTGAAAAACAAACTGTTAGAGCCTGAAGGAATAGAGGATTTCGCTGTGATCATTATTTACGTTTTCAATATTGATGTTTCCCAATATCTATCTAACCCCATAGGAAACGATGCGTCCATAGTGAAACAAGTCAGCACCCACATTTATGAAAAAATCCACGGATTTCAACAAAAATGAAGAGGGGGGAGCAGAAGTGTAGAGCCACAACCTCAGGCCCCAGACAGCAGGCAGCAGCAAGTCCTGAATGCCTTCACTTGTAACATTTCAAAGGCCAAATGGCAGCAAAGAAAAACAAGAATAAACTTTAAATCCATTCACCACAAAGCAGTCCTACGCAAGCCAAAGGAGCCGTCGATTTCAAAACCATCAACTCAAAGCCAGGTCCCTCCCTTGCCTTACAACCTCCAGTTACTTGCTAAGCACGTTTGTTAGGCGGCTGGACAGAAACTTAGTTAAAAGTCCTCAGTCCGGTGTGAGGGGACAACCGAGTCGTCAGTGGGAAACGAGAGGTGTGGGAGCCCCAGTGGCGCAGGGACCCCTCGGAGGTGCACGTCCAGCAGGACGAGGTTTTGGGAGAATTTCGAGGGCCCCTCATAAGCCCTCCCGCGCACCCACCCCGACCCAGGTAACCGGAGGCCACCTACGTGTCACTTGGGCGGGCCCCGGGGCGCACTGACCTGGAGCGAGACAGGATGGCCGGCGGCCAGGGCGGCTGCGGCAACTTCCCTCCCGAGGATCGGTCCGCCGCTGGGTGCGGGAGGTCCGGGGAGCCTCGCCTTCTGCAGGCCGGCTAGCAAGAACGCACGGCCACCCACCCGCGCCGCGGCCCAGCGCGCGCACTCACACTCTCTCTGGCACCCGCACGCGCGCCCCCAACCACAAAGCCCGTCCACGGCGGGACAGTGTGAGCCCAGCGCGCCGTGTGGCGAACGAGCCGTCGCCGCGGCCTCTGGCTTCGCGCCCAGGGGGCGCCGTCCCCACACGCCGCGCCTGCCCCTTTACCTGCGCTTGCCGCCGCCGCGCGTCCCGCTCCCGCCGCCCCCGGGTTGGCTTCAGGCCGCGCGCCCAGTCCCGGCGGCCCCCGCCCCGCCGCCAGCCGAGCCCGTCCCTCCGCCCGCCCCTCGGCCGTCGCCCAGAGCGAGGCCGCCCCCTGCGCCCACCCCGCCGGGATCCCGTGCTCGGCCGGGCGGCGGGGAGGGCTCCGCGGCTCCGGGCCCTGGCCGCCCCAGATCCCGCCCGCGCTCAGCAGCGGAGCTGCAGACGGAGTCGCCACTCGGGGAGCGTCAGCCGCCGGTCGGCCCCTACGGCCCGGCTTTGGCGCGCTGGCAGGAGGAGGGGGCGCAGAGGGAGGGCCGGAGGAGCAGCGCCGACGCCAGCGTCCTCTCTTCCTCCGCCTTCCTTCTTTTCTGCTTGCTCCACGTAGCACAAGTCAGCAACTCCCGGGACCCCAGAGTCCGCCCTCCCCGCTCCCAAGCTGGACCCCTTACCTGGCGTGGCGCCCCCAGCGCCCCTGACTTCTGCGCCCCTTCCTTCATTCATTGGCTCGACAGCCCTCGCTGGCTGCAGGGCCGGGGCTAGGGGGTGGCCTTAGCCTCCCATTCATTATCTCAGCAGCCTCCCCCGCCCCGCCCCCGAGCCTACAGACCCGCAGCGGGAGACCCGTGGCCGCCAGCTCGGGTCCCACCCCCGCCCCTCCTGAGCTCACCCCAGCGCGGGACAGCTGGCAGAACTCCGGTGGACGCCCCGGCACGGCACGGGGCATTTTCACGTTGTCGCTCTCCTCTTGCCACTCGAAAAGCTCTGGAAAACATCGCGGGGCCCACAAACCCCCGAAATGTGGCCTCTCTTTCGTGGTTCATTTTCTAAACTTTCCAGAAGGCGCAAAGTTTCTCCCTGCGCCGCCCTACACTGGAGGCTGAAAAGAACGCAGAGGCGGCTTTGCTGCTAGGAAGGTGCATACGTTTCTAGTTCTGATTTTTCACTTCACTGGATCTGTAAACCAAAGCAAGTGTGTCTGCTCCCCTAGTTCTCCATATCCATGATTATAAAATTCTCTTCCGCTTTCCCAGTGTAGCTTTGCAAGTGTAAACTATCAATTTTAGTGAGAGTAATTAAGGGCGGGGACTGCACACCTGGAGGTGTAGGTGGGCGCGGCGCGGGACTAAGGCCCAGGGATCATTCTCAGGAGAGTGGCAGCCACAGGGATTCGCCCAGGTCTTATAACAACACCCACTAGATGGGGTCTCCCTAGCCACGCCACCTCACCACACCCATCTCCCACTTCTGGCTTCCCAGGATTTCCGGAGTAATCAGAATTATCAACCTCTCGCTGCACAGCTAAGGCCACCGCATATCAAAAATAGCAGCGTGCGAGTAAAAGTTTCATAAGCCCTCGCCTTGAAATGGCACAGAGGACACAGCACGACAGCAGTAAGGCATGGGAACTCAGCAGGACTGATCCCATTGAGAGAAACGCAGAACAGCGAGGCAGGGCTGTGTTGGTGGTGGCCACCCGGTAACCGTGGGCTTTGCAGAAGAGAAAGGTCACTGCAAACCGCAGTTGGACGGAAGCTTTTCAAGCCTCAAGTGAGTTATGCTGTGACGGGACCATGACCATCTCCCACCGGTGACTGCTTAGAACCTTGACCAAGCTCGTGTGGTTTTCGCAGGATGCTCAGGGCTGAGCCCTGGCTGTAAATAATTTACTATCTAAAGCTGTTTCCTTTTTAAAACAATGGTTCTACTCTTAAAAAAAAAAATCGAATCTTTTTTAAAAATCCACTTTAAATACCTTTCCTACCAATATATGATTTGTTTTATAACAATTTACTATGTGAAAAAATTGAAATTTTAGTACATGCACAGTGCTAATATGTTCATGCACAATGCTACCATGTTTGTGTACAGCATGCAGAAATGTGTATAAATACGTATACCCATGAATACAGACCACTCCTTTATCTCACAGATAATGATAGGGGTTGATACTAAACTATAAGAAATATTATATTGGGATGAATAGGCAAATGTTCACTATAAAATCTAAGTATCATATATATTGGTAAGAAAAAAATATACTCGAAAGAGGTTTCCGTATGTTTTTAACCATAGCTCTACTCAATTCAGAAAAATCACTTGTTAGCTAATTTTCCTGTCTCTTTCTTCCTATACACTCTACTTACTGTCAGATTTCTTAACACCAATACTTCTATATCTAATATAAAGAACATTTTAAAATTAATTATTTCCATGTTTAGCCTTTCCCCATAAATCAAAGGTTGGGTAAAAGGAGTTTCTTACCGCTCAACTTGAATATTTTTAATATGTTGATTTTTTTTGCTTACCTTCTTAAGGAACACAGTTGCTTCTGTTTTGACTACATATTAACTATCTTAACTACTCTGTGGCCCCTTCTAACATCAAATTGGGAGGCCTGTCCGTACAAGACATGTGTATTCAAAAGTAAGTTATTTGCTATAAAACACTTCATTTCCTCTTTATTTGGCCTGCTGTGGCCTGAAATGAAATATAGAACAAATTAAAAGGTCTGCCTGGACAGACCTGTCTTCCTGACAAGCGTGGACCTGTCTGAATGAGACAGCTTCTGCAGCCAGCTTTAGATCGATAACTTTAAAATTAAATGTAGGTATGTACATCCAGTGGAAAAGGACAGAGAAAATGAAATACAATACAGAATTCAGTTCATCTTCTAGATTAATCCGTAAAACCTAGCTCATTATGTTCCAAATGAGCTACTTTTCTCATCTGTAAAATGGAATGATAGTACCAGTGCAGTCTTTTATATGGTTCCAAGTTGTCTTCTATCAAAGTAAAATAATATATTTGAGTGGGCTTCTAAAGACACTAACATTGATGATGAGGTTTCAACAGGAACAAAGAATACTTTGATAAATTTTCTTGAATGTTTTCTCCTGTCTGTAGTCTTCTTAACATTCAGACATTCCCTTTCTTGAAGAGTCATCCTGATGCTTTCTGTCCTAACCTTTCTCTCCTACCCTCTGCCAAGCAGGATTTCTTTAGATTTGTTTCTTCGAATGACTTCAGCAGAGGCAAAGAACCAGAAGACACCTGGAGCTGTCAAACATGACAAAAAATATACTTAGCCACAGTGGCTCATGCTTGTAATCCCAGCACTTTGGGAGGCTGAGGCAAGAGGAGCACTTGAGCCCAGGAGTCCGAAGCTGCAGTGAGCTGTGATTGTGCCACTGCACTCTAGCTTGGGCAACAGAGCCAGACCCTGTCTTTTTAAAAAGTTTTTACATTTTTAAATATATATATATGTTCAGCAAAATGAAGCCAGGCATAGTGGCTCCCGCCTGTAATCCCAGCATCTTGGGGGAGGCCGAGGTGGGCAGATCACTGGAGGCCAAGAGTTTGAGACCAGCCTGGCCAACATGTCTGTCTCTACTAAAAATACAAAAATTAGCTGGTATAGTGGCGCATGCCTGTAGTCCCAGCTATCGGGAGGCTGAGGCATGAGAATCTCTTGAACTTGGGAGGCAGAGATTGCAGTGAGCCAAGATTGAACCACTGCACTCCAGCCTGGGCAACAGAACAAGACTCTGTCTCAAAAAAAGAAAAAGTTCAGCAAAATGAAACACTGTGATGGATATTTCAAGTTTGGGTTTTACATTAGTATCTGGAAGGACACCGTAGACCTTGTCAGACTATTGATATAAGCTAGTGATCCAAGGACTATAATTTAAGAAGCATTTAGGGTGGAAAAATTGGCTGTCACTGCCTTTGGCACTATTATTTGCTCAAAAGTTTCCCCAGTCATGGCACACTCATGGAAGAGTTCTCTCTTCCTCCCTCTGTTTACTTCCCTCTGGCAAAAAGCTTTTGAAATTTTCTATTAGAGAGTAATCAAAACTATCAGCAAAACGATCTGTTGGAAACTTTCCCTCCAGTCTATTAAGGTAGAGACTGATTCAAAGACTGTGTTTTGGTGAAACAATACCCTGAGAGAACTCAGCCTTTTCGGGAAAGTTTTGCAGATGCCTACAGGCATTGTTTTCTTCCTCCTTGAACTGGGTATTTGTGCCTCTCCAGTATTTTTCCCCTTGGCTAGGGGGGGAAAAAAAAGCATTCTCCTTAGGACACCTTTCTATTTTAAAAGGCCAGCGGCAAAAGTGGGTGGGGCAGCCCAATTTAGTAAAAAAATAATAATAATAACACTCTTTAGAGTACAGGTGGCATAAGGAGACTCCAAAAATGGAGAGAATTTGGGTTTGCGTGCAGCAGCCTCCTGCAAGGACTAGGCTGCAATGAAAGCCCCAAACAGAGTAACTCTGTGTACACCTTTTTCTTATCACATACATCTGCATGAATAATCTGGGTAATATCAGAAGTAGGTCAAGGCTAGCAAATCCTTTCTCTGTAGGCTCCCTCATCCAAAGCAAAAAAGGCTTAGATCTAAAACAGAGTGAAGACAGAAAAGGAACAGGAAAAAAATATATGGGTGTTATATATACAACTATAAAGCTGAAAATGGATCTGGATACAAAGAAATCATAGAAAGGGTCAACAAAACAAAAACCTAGTTCTATAGAACAATAGTAAAATAGATAAATTTCTGGTAAAATTGACAATGAAAAAGAAAAGA